GCCTTCTTCAACACATCAAAAAGCATTCATATAAGTATAAATTTAATTTACATATAATATATATATATGTATATCCTACCTAAAATTTTTTTAAAATAAAAAACCTAAAAAGGCAAATCTTATAATGCCTTGCTACAAAATGAAACAAAAATGTTTTAATGCCATCTACCTGTTTCAAACAATCGTTTAGGAACAAACTTGGAATTTGCTGAACCAACATCATATAACTCTTCATCAGTTTCAATGTAGTCATCATTGGAATGTGATGAAATACTCTGGATTAAGTTAATGATAATGAAAACTATTTCCATTGACTAGTGCGTAAAATGGTAATGAACTTTGTGCCTTACATTTGTGGAGTTTGCAGGTGTATAAAATAAATCAGGTATAAAGTATTGCTTTCCTTGTCAGACTGAAGAAAAGTAATGCTTATTTTCTAAAATACTGATATTTGTTAGTAATCATTGACTTAAATCATTTTGAATAAATCAGAGTTATAGAAAAGGATACAGAATGCTTTCTTTTCAACTCTGACTTAGTAGGTCTTCTAATCGAGGATGGTCCTAAAATAATGTTACCATAATTATTTCATGGTTGCAGCCAAGGACATTTTTAAATGTTACTATTCAAAGATTGGTCATTCGTAGTGCTTAAAGATCTTGAGTAATGAAGGTTACAGATTGTTAAAACATTTCTATCCTTGCTAAAAAAGAGGACAGGCTAACTTTTTTTTGTGCTTTTATATTTGGAATGATTGCTCTAATGTTATTTTGGATTGTTATTACAGAGAGTAATAAAAAAAATATATATTTAAATTTGATATAGCTTTAGAAATAAAATTTTCTTTAATGTTAGTGTTGATTTCTATGATTTACAATAAATATGGTCACATTAATTTACCAAATTCAGTTTTTCTTTTCACTACTTTAAATATATTACGCCTACAAAAATGGTTGAATGTATTTGAATATGTTTTTGACCTATGCCTTCTTCCCATCATCACTTTGATAATTTTTCCCAACTTGATGCTTTTAATGGTTGACTACTGGGTAAACACTGGGCTAGAAAGACATTACCAGAAACATAGCTTTTGGCCATGTCTTCATCAGAGATCTCGTGGTAAATGTTGCCTGCCATTCTGTCAATGACTCCCTGGAACAATGAAAATAAAACTAATAATCTTTGTTGAAAAAATGTTATCAAATAATGAGAGAAGAGCAGTAAAGGTATGTGGTGTTGGATCTTTAGGCCATTTTGAATTCAGTAGTATTAAGGGGGAGTGAGTGCAATCAGGTTTGAGGGGGCCACCTCAAGGGCAATTTTATAATGTATGCACTTAAATATTATTACTAGCCAATATACCTGACATTTGCCGGGATAGCATCCGGAACAAAGGAACTTCTACAGCCTTATAATTAACATTAAATTTAAACACCATGCAAAAAAAACAACCTCCACTCTAGTAAAAAAAATAGTAATAAATCTGTCTCCTATTTAAATACATTTATAATTACTTTAGTGAACCTTTTGTTCCCCAATAGGATTCCGATCCCGGTTCCTGATAAGAATCCTATTTTCGGATCTATCCTGGTATCCTGACCCCGTTTAGTTCTAGATCTCGTTGGTATTCCGATCCCAGTGTGTTCCCGATCCCATCAGAATCTCAATCCCGGTGGGATCCTAATCCCAGTTGGATCCTAATATCTATGGAATCCCAATCCTTGTGGGCTCCCAATACTTGTGTGCTCCATTTTCCCGGTGTGATCCCATTGCCCGGTGGGACCCCGATACCGGTCGGATCCCGATTTCTGTGGGTTCCCTTTTCCTGGTGGGATCCTGATCCCGGTGGTATCCCATTTTCAGGTGGGATCCTGTTACTTGATGGGATCATGTTACCGGTGGGTTCAAATTTACTCGTTCCCCTTTAAGATCCTGTATCTTGGGATTTTGTTCCCGGTAGGATTATAAAGGGCATGTTTGGATAAAATCCCCAGGAAAGTATAGAAATGAAAAGAACTAAGCTGACATTTCAATAAGCTTTTAGATACCATTATATATCCCCGTAGAACAATATAGAACTTTCTGGAACATTCTAGATTAAATTTAATATCGATGTCTTTTCTACGAAATTATTTTTCAAATACGAAAAATTATACAACTAAATGTACTACTATAACTACAGTACATTTAAGTACAAAGAGGGGCCCTTTCCATAATGGAACCAAATTAGTTATGCCTGATAGGCGTTCTATAAAAATCAGTCAAGTAAATTATGCATTTAAAATTTAAAAGTTGTCCTATTAAAATCTATTTAATATTGCCATAGATAAAGCTTTTTTAAATAATAGAACTTTCTGGAAAATTCTAGATTGGATATTCTTAGTTTTAAATCCACCGATATTTCAATACGGACAGTGAAGTGTATTGCTACCATGCTAGGCCTATGTTGTTGCTGTTGTTCGTCTGCCGAAATCGACTAGGACCATCGAGTCATTCGATTAGGGGGAGGGTGGGTTACAGTGAGCACGTAGGTGGCTCGCTAGACCGATCTGTGCTTGGAATAATCTCTGGCACCGCGGGCAGGGGATATATATATATATATATTAACCTTTATATGATAAAGTGAAAGAAATTATTTACTTTCCTGCTTGACAAACTTTTTATACAACAGGTTTTTACATATCCCAAATTGTAATCTTAAGTAAATGTTAACATTTGAAATGTCATAAGAAGTGTGCAAATTTTTCAGTTGCCTTAGGCCAGATGGCACATGCTCAAATGCCTGTTGGATCTGGATGATGATGATGAAATATCATAAAATGACAAATGTATTAAGCACCTAATCACACACCCCACTTGGCAAACAATTGCTTGAATATGAAAAATGTATTTTGAGTTATTTAAATATTTTAGGTCCATTTTTTTTATAGTTATAGAAATAATTAGGTTGCATAAATGTATAATACACACATCTTATTTATAATTTATATTGGTTGGTAAATGCATGGCAACTTGACATTTTATGGTACACAAAACCATACTTGAAGTTGATGATCTATCTTTGAAGATAGAGTGCTCCATGATTCGCCATAAAGATCAGGTTTCCTTGGACTTGGACAATTTGAAGTGATATGTGATATCTCTTCTATTTCTTCCTCAGCAAATTCATTGGTCAAATATTCTGCAAGTGACTTTTGGGGTAACTCAAACGATGGCTGTCCCAAAACAAAACATAATAAATGTGAGCAATTTAATAATTTTCTATGAGATATCAAAGAACTACTAACATCGAAGAAATGAAATAACTGAATTAAAATTTAAAGAGACTTTTTTTTAGATGATTTGATGTGAAGTGATCTGAAGTCTCTGAATTTTAATGATATAACTCTGATGACATTTAAGGGTCACCACATTTTATATACTCTCTAAGATAGAAGTATGCTAACTTCTAAATTCATAATCAACGGGTTAATTTAATTTTAAAAAATTCAGTAGCCTTTCTTTTGGTAGATTTAAATTCTATCTAACATCATAGGCCTATATTTAGATCTGAAAGTCATTAATAGATTCCAGCAGAGCTTAGATATTTAATTACCTTTAAATAAACTGACCTTTTGTTTTGTCTTTGACTGATTTTTTTCCTTTTTATTTTTATTTACATCTGGAGAGGTACAAAAAATTATCTTGTACAACTTTTAAAAATCATTAATGAACTCTAACATAGTTTATTTGCTATTAAAAATTTTTGAAATATATAGTATGGTCAATGAATTAAAGTTAGATCTTATTCTCAAAGACAGTATCAGTTTTAGGAGAAAAAAAAAGAAATCCTTAATCTGTCTTTTCTTGACCAATGAATTAACCTGAATGCTTGTGTTTTGTATGTTTGGCCTTTTGAAATTGTATGCCAAATTTCCCTGTGATCTTACTCTTTCATTTGTAAATATATATAAATAAGATACAAGGGAAAGCGTTAAAGTCATTAATGAGATCTTAAAAAAAATGTTTTATTTTTTATATAAATGTAACTGTTGTTTATCATTTTAAAATTTAAACTACCATGATATTGCTAATAAATTTAAGTACTGTATTAAGTTTTGAAACAAAAAGTGTGGAATTAGATATATATTTCAACCAGGGCCGGATTAAGGTATTAGCTCTAAAAGATTTTGGATGTTTGAAGGTGCTGGTACTATCACTTTGATCAGGTAAAAGAGGGAGGAGGCATGAGGGCTTCAGAGCAAAAGTGGGGGAAGGGGCTCTCTCCTGCAGACCCTAACCCAATTGTTTTTGAGGGCAAGCGATCCATTGTGGTCCATGTTGAAATTTAGTTTGGCAACATTCTACACCTAATCAGAGAGCAACAAATGAGATGCTATTGGGAATTTGTGTCCTCTGGGTAAGCATTAATGAGCTTCTTATTACCGTGAAAATACATTTTGACATTATGTGGCACTTTAGTTAGAGTTGAAAATATGTTTTGGGTATCAAAATATTAGCTAGATTTTTTTTAAAGTCTATATTTTTTCTGTATGTATATTTTTAAGGTGCCCCCTTTCTCATGATGTCCCAAACATGTGCTTATACTACTTAATGGGTTATCAGGGCTTGATCTCAATGAATCTCAGCTAACAAATTTTGCTTTTAAAGACACTATTACTATTATCATAATTACAAGAGAATGTTATTAATTTTTATATTTTAAGTTGAACTAGATTTCCCTTTATTTTCTCTGAGGAAATGTTTATTAGCCTGTTAAGTTTTTGCTATAATTATTAATCAGATTGATACAAGTCTAATCAGCAGGTAACGACAACATGATAATCAATATTTTTTATTTTAATGACTTGCATGCAGAATTGAAATGTGAATTAGTGGAAATTCCGTGCCACACATGTAATTTCCAGACCTCAAGTAACTGCAAGATGGTTATTAAGTACTCAAATAATATTATTTTGTGAATACTTCTTTTATTAAGTTTTGAATTTTAGATGTCTTACCAGTGCATTTATGGGTCTGATGCAAAGTGTTTATTCCCTGTTTAAGTTTAATAACATCAACATTTTTCTTAGCTCCTGATTTCCTATTAGCAGGTTTGCCTGTTCCATTAAAGCCACAAAAAGCTTCACATGCAGTGTTTGGCTATCGGAAGGAAAAGTGAAAATTAATAAGAAGACATTTTTTAAAATGTGTAAGTATAATATAAGTAAACTATTTTACTTAAGTGAATTTTATTAACATTTTAAAGATTTAAATCAGTAATTAATGTTTAAACCTCGGTAAAATGTATACACTATATGATATCAGGGGTTGTCAAAGTGGAAGGTACCATCAATCAGGGGGGCGCTGAAAGACTTGGGAGATTTTAAGGGTCACCAGGACTCCCAAAGGGGGCAGTAGATGTTGTGGGTATTGGATAATGTAGACAAATATTTATAACAATTATACATTGTAATGAAAGATAAAATACTGTTTCGATTGTCAGAATCAAACATGAGTCAATGATGGACAGACTGAGATAATAGACCTTGTTCATACACAAAGACATAGAAATAAAACAACCTGTACACTTACTTTCAAATAGAAGTAACAGTGGCTGTTCACAATTATACATTTATAATTATAAGTAGCTCAGTGCTGTCAGTTTACTATATCAAAACTTATTTTTTAAAGCTGGGATTTAGGAAGATTAAGTTGTGGGTATACTAAATGCAGAAGGGTTTCATTACATTATATAAAATGAATATTTGCTTCTCACTAATGTATGTTAGTTAAAATTATGGGTAAAGTGTTTTTATTTATTAGGCAGCAAAATAATAGATTTTGGAAAGAAAAAAAGAAAAGAGGAAAAAGGGGGAAAAAGAAAAAAAAAAAGAAAAGAGGATAAGAAGAAATTATAGTCAGACACATGAAGTATGGGATTCACTAGGAAGCAACTGGAAAAGAAAGCACAGGACACAAAGTATGGGATATGTAGAGATGCGAGCTAGAGGAAGACACACAAAGTATGGGATATACCTGAAAGCAACTCAAAAGGAAAGAACAGGACTGAGATGAATGGAAAACTCTTGTAGACGGCCTATGCCCCAGACAGGGTAAAAGGCATAAGTAAGTAAGTAATTTCAAAGCCTGGCTGATCCAGAGGTTAAAGTAAGACACAAGATCATCATCTTCAGTTTGCAATGTTTTTGATATGTTTCGCAAGGATAGTTTGATTGATTTTAGGATCTTTTTTAGAACTGACACAGTTTGTGTAAGGAAGGAGGTGCTAATTCAGCCAAAAAAGATGTTGAGTTGATAACATAGTTTAAGAAATGGAAACAAGAGCTTTGGCTAAAGAAAGAATTGCTCCAAACAATAAAATAAGATAATAATAAATATATTTTCTGCTAAAAGACTTAAAAACCAGGCATTGAAAAAATGCAATCACTTTACCAACCCCACACATCACTTTAAGAATACATTAATTGATCAGTGAAGACCATGGATATTTAAGACTCTTTCTAAATAATGAACCTACAATTAAGAGGAAGTTACTATTGCATTTTTATATATATAGGATAAACTTTATAATTTAATTGTGTATTTTTCTTCTATTGAGGCTGTTGCTAAATATTATTCTGATAATGCTTATAACAGGGTTAATTCGGAAAGGGGGGGGGGGGGGGGGGGGGAGGTTTGAGGATGAGATTATGCCAAGGGGGCAGTGGCCAAAAAAAAAGTCTGAGAACCACTGCTCTAAATGTAAAGTGTGTAAAGTGATTAAAACTGGATGTTTACTATGAACTCACAGATTGCGACTTTTTTTCATAAGTTTTCCAACTTTGAGTCAGTTTAGGGCTCACTTTTTTCTTTGCTTTCTCTAACCAACTGACCTCACTTCTGCAAAGAAGGGAATATTTTGTTTTATTATGATTAAGAGTAAAATCCAATCCATATTGATTTGTTAGCTGCTTTAAAAGTTATTTTTATCTGCCTAGCTTTAGTAATTATCTGCAGCTCTGGTGCATACATTGTTATGTTCTTTGTTTTTATTCAACAATACTTTGAAATGTACAAGTTAATCCACACCCATCAGATTAGCTCTCGGACAAAAAGCAGAAAAATGAAGCATGGTCTATTAATTGATTCTGAAAATTTATGCAGGTCTGTTTAAAGCTCAATAAATGAGAATCGTAAATACAAATATTTTAAAAAATTTTTAATCTGGGCTCTGCAGTGGAGCAGACTATGGCCAAAAATCACAGACTCAGTACAGACAGAGAATTATGCAAATGAAAGAAATTTAAAATACCCTATTACATAAGAACTGTATTTCTGGATATTTCTGAATAATTCCCAATAATCCCTAATATTTAAATTAATCTTTAAAATATTTTTGACTACATCTTTACAACTTCAAATTAGTCTTTTTGGTCCAATTCTTCAATTTCATTGTACACTACTAAATGCTTTAGAGCTATTTACTTGCAGTTCCATTATAACTAGCCGCTAAAGCCTACAAACTTTTACCTATTCCGTCTCACCACTACAAACAACTGCTAATCGTAAAGCCTAAAAACTTACTTTTACCCATCTCCTGTTTCACCACCACATACATCTGCAGATCGACTTATTTTTTATGGTGAGAGCTTATTCTTTGTTAAAAGATAATTCTAGAACTTAAGTTTGTTTTTTTTTTCTTTCAAATTTCTTTAAAACCCCACTATAAATTCCGATTTGCCACTTTAGATATTATGATGTTCCTATCACAGTACAAATCCACCTTACAATAGCCAGTCTTTGATTAAGAGGAAGCCTATTTGTTAAAGTTTGTAAATAAATAAAATTGGATCAGTTAAATGAAGACATCAATTAACACTCCTGAAGCAAAATAAGAAACCCATATACTTTTACGTTAATAGTCCAAATGATTTAAAAATTATCTTACATTAATGATTTTTCATTTTCATCTATCACTGTTTGCCTTGGACAATCATCATCTTCATTGTCTGGTGTGCCAGGTATTGAATCTTCAAGATGAGGAAACACCAAACCTGAACTACTTCCCAGTGCCGCTTTCTAAAATAAATGTCATGGTTTAAAAAACTACTACTGAGATAAGAAGAGCATGGAAAGAAGGAGAATTGAAGTATAATGTGATTTGATAACATCTAAGTAGCAAGTAACCAAAAATGTAAATCATGTTTTCATTTTCAAAAAAAAACTGTTAAAGCAAAAATTGTAAATTTTAAAAAAATATTTAACTGCCACTTGTAATTTTAAAATTACCAAATAAATTGTAATAACTTCTTAAGCTACAATTACAATCTAGTCTTACAAACCTGGCTAGCATATAATGCAAATTTTGATGATCCTCTACAGCTACTATTTTCAGAATCATTGTCCTCAAATGAAAATTGAGAACTTGCATCTTTTTCTGATATCTTATTTCCAGAAATTTCTGTGTTGCTTATAGCTTGCTCAGGTCCCTTGTTAACCCTGTTAATTTTTTTTACCTTTCTTTTTTCACGTACATATTTCTCATTATTTTGACCACTCTGCACCTTATCTGGTTGTCTTTCAACTGCATAAGTGTTAAATTCCAAGCTTTTAGTTTTCTGGTTATTAGAGTGCTGAGATCTGAATATTGAAGGTGTTGACCAATTTTTAATATTCAAAGAATTTGTTTGGCAAGGCTTGAGCGGTTGTTTTTGTTTCATTTCCAATTCACATTCAGCATCAAAGTCATATGGATCTGAGGAGCAACTGTTGTGTTCATATGCCATTGTGAAGGTTTCTTTTATTTCATGTCTTGTCCAAGTACCTTGAAGGGATGTTTTATTTTTTTTAGGTGCGAGAGATCCATTTATTTTAATTAAATCATCAACTTGAGACTTTCTCAATTTTTCATCTGGTGTAGCCTTAACACTATTTTTATTCCATTTAAATAAATCTTCATTACTCTTAGCTGCACATTTTTGAGTCTTTGATAAAGTATGTCTTTTTTCCTTTGATATTAAACTGACATCAGGCGATTCACTTTCTTTGTATGACACAACTTTATTTCTAGCACGTAAATTTCTAGTTGGTTTACTAGATCCTGCATTAGTTAGTGCTGGTGAGACAACAGTGTTCTTTTCTTTTTTCCCTCTTAATTCATTAGTAGATAATTCAACTTTTGGAGGCATTTCATAATTGCTTAAATCAACATCATTTCCATTATTTTTGCTTTTTGGTATAATTTTATCATTTATATCCAAACTATTCATCTCTTTCAAGCATGAATTAATTTTCTTACTTCTTTTTGATATCTTTGAAGATTTGGGAGTGACCCTTTTTGGTGAATACTGTCCGTGAGATTTAACAATTTTGCAAGATGCTTCACACATTTTCTCTCTCGCATTTTTAGTATTAAACACATAGGAACTTTCCATATTTGATGAATTATTGCAATCATATATTGTTAAATGAAAATCACCTGATCCATTTAAAGGTAAATGATGTAAGTTAGAGATGTTTGTATTATTTTTAGCATGCTTCATCTGTGTAACAGTGTCAAGTTTTGACAGTGTTACTTGTTTATTTATTTCTTGGTTTTGTTTATTCAATGATCTGTAAGCTATTGTTTCCCTCTCCAATGTAGCTGAAGGCTGTTCAATCTGTGTCTCGGCAATAACCTCACAGTCTTTCTCATTCTGTTTAGAAGCTTCTAATTCTACATTAAGTTCAGGAAGAAAGGAACTTCTTTCACTACCACTTGTCATGAAGCTCTCAGATTTCTTTGCTTTCTTGTTTGACCTTTCCTTTGACTGAACCGCTGCCATTGATGTTGATGCTGAATGTGTTTGAAAACTTGGAATGACATCTTTCAACATTGCTTCTTTTTTCTTTTCTTTTCCAACTCCATTGCTGTTACAAGTTACTGTATCACTTTCAGATTTATAAATAGTTTCACAATTGTTTTTATCCTTGACTAACAATTTCCCTAACGAAATGAAATTCTTGTTTGGCTTAAAGTCATCCAAAGATATATTTCCAGGGCTAATGTTTTTCATTCTAGGATTCCTCTCAGCCAGCGTGAAAGTAGAAATGTCTGCCACTTTTGATGACAGAACTCCATTATCCTTTTTAATTTTCATCTTTTGAATTTGTTTGGGTATTTCTGCAGTAAATAATAATATTAAAATTTAAAAAAGTAAAATTCCAGTAAAAATTTGTAAGATAAACTGATGTTATTTTAAATGAATATAAAATGTGTTTTGTGCATTGATATAAAACAAAAAAAATCCATGGACACCCACCTGATATTTTTGGTTTGTGTACCTAGAAGAAAAAAAAAGAATTACATTTTTCTATAAAACAGCAGAGTAGTAGTTGATTTACAATTGAAATATACTTTTTTTTTTTTTTATTAAATACATTTTTTGATACAAATGCCCCCTTGATATATGATGAAGCTGTTAAATAATTGTTAACAAAATAGTTCAGTGATTAAAAAGTAAATCAGTGTTGCCTATAACAATTGTATTAGTGTAATTTGATGTCCATAATTGACATAGTCCATAGTTTCCTAATCTGTTAATGTGGTTAACTTAAACTTAATGCAAAAATCTATATATATAATTCGTCAGAAGTAGGGCAAACAACAAGACCAAGATGACCATGCAGGCAAACCCTCCCCTCCCTTCCCTTGCCACCCTCGCTTGCCAGCCAGCTCGCGGTGTATGGTAAGTGGGCTACATCTAGTAAACAATATTGAAACCAAAATCTTCGATATAATTTGCCAATTCTTCTTTATGAAAAATGACATCAGGGGTCAGGGTGGAGGTGTAATAGTATAATAAGATATGAACTCAAGGCTGTGGTCTGTGCAACAACTAACTTTATTCTGTTTAACATTATTTTTATACACATCACATGACCGCTCACTCCAGTTTTCCAACCAATATTCACACATTTAAGTTTAAACATTCATGAAAACAACTCACCTAGTTCAGTCATACGACATGAAAACAACTCACCAAGTTCATTCATACGACATGACAACAACGCAGGACAGGTCACAAAGTTCAGTCAATATACACAACAATAATTGGCAGTCAACAAGTCACTCATACTGTCACAGTGGACCAAGGATTTTCCAGGGATGGAGGAAGCACAATGACTTAATGGTGTAACTGGTGTCATCAAGGGTGGTGGAAACATAGCTGGCGGTGTTTTACCAACTATTTAGCCCCTTTTGCAAGGTAGTTTTTTTTATATTAATAAGTTTATAACATTTGAAATAGATAACTATGATGTCTAAGTAAATAAATAATTTGTAAAAAAACATTAAATTTTTTTATTATAGTATATCATGTAAAAACACTGTGATTTAGAATGATGGCTTTTTTCAATCTCTTAAATGTTTTTTCTTTTCTAAACCATGAAATTAGACAAGGTCAGTATTTAAAATATGCTCTAAAGTGTATATTTAAAAAAAAAAAAAGGTATAAAAGTACTGAATGACTTGACAAATAATTTAAATATCTAAATTTTACCCTGCAATGGTAGGGAGTTCAATTATTAAAATAATTTTTTCTCCTTAATTTGTTTCAGAATTAAAAAACAAAACTATAACTGGGAAAAAAAAATGGTAACTTAAATAACTCTGTCTTAAATTTGCTATTTTCTTGCTTCTAGATTTGCAAATGATGCCTACCTGTATTATAATTTTTGTCTTACCTTTTCACATATTGGTATCTTTTTAAAGTTCTCTCTTTTTCTCAGGTCTTTAATGACACTACAATAGAAATTAAAAAATTGTAGATAAATAAACATTAAAATAATTAAGACACATTAGTCAGACATTCTAAATGAAGATACACACATATGTTCAATCAGTTTTGTTTTTGAAAATACACTTGTATATATCAATTTTGTATATGAACATCACATTTTAACCAATTGTAAATTTTCTAATGCAAGATTTAAGGTTGATTACATTCATTTTGCAGTGTTTATTAATCATCAATATGTCTATGTCACTTCACATTATCATACATAAGAATTTTAAGAGGTTGTCATTAATGATTTTGTAAATTTTTTTGCCAAAATAAATTATTCACTATTATGCATGATATTAACAGTTAAAGGCCCTGTATTTCATAATGATGAAATGTTAATGTTGTTACACTTATTTGATTGATAGATGTGGGATTGAAATTTTCTAACAGACGTTATCATTATTTCAACATATATTTTTTGCCAAAAATTTTGTTACACAAAATTTTTTCAGATGGGTGGGGCATGTAACGGACAATGTTTTCACATGAAAACAGAGAGGTAGCATGAGTGAACAGTGAATGGTGTTGACCATGTTTTGTCCACGAGGACAATGGATTGTATTTTGAGAAGCAAATGTGAGCTCCACGTTTTTGGAGAGTAAAATTATGTTTTTGTTAGAGCGGTTGTTTTCCACGCTTTGCTGGTAATAAAGTATGAGTTGACTGATATAGGGAGAGCTGAGCGCAGAGCAGTAGAGAACAGTAGAGCTAGGAGAGCTGTGTGATTAGACAGTTGAGCTGAGTTGTAGAAGTGTGAGGACGTGTCTTTCTTAATGATGGAATACTATAGAAATATATGTGAAATTACATTCATGCAAGGATTATTTATTAATATTATCAGTATAAAGTGTGTTCAATAAAGTACTGTAAGTTTTAACCAGAATTGAGTATTCTTCTTTGCGTGCCTGGATAATAAGTGGAAGAATGAAGAAGTCGGCATCCTGAAGTATTAACATAAGTAACCATACTACTGACATAACCCACAGCATAAGAAATGAGATCCCACGCCATTTCAGAGTAGATGTGTTACAAAAACAAACTGTTTAGTTTAGAGGGGGGAAAAATGAAAATCAATATCAAAATAATGTAAGTGTAAGAATTAACTAATAAAAATGTAAGTAATATTTATACATTTGATTCTTTGTTGGTACAGGATTTTGAAAACATAAGTTATTAGACATACCTCTTGGCTGTCTTGCTATTTGGATGACCATCATCAGAAAAATCTGTTGCCCCATCTGCAAAAGTATTATCCCATAATGAATTATTATAAGTGTTTGAAAATTAACTTGTTCCCATTCATTTATACTTTTAATAATTTCCAAACAACATTTTAATTTAACTAATATACATCCATCATCTGTATCATAATGTATATCATTAGTGGCAGATATGTTTTGTGTGACAAATATAATGATAATAATAATAATAAAGTTCATTTCAAAAACACGCTTCATCCACAAAGGCTCGAAGCGCGGTACAAAGTCAACAAAATACAAATCTATAATTTACCACATTTAAAACAAACGCAACACTACAAAAACTAATTACTAGCATACAATTGCAAAGTCTTTCTAGCCATTTCAACCCCAAGCAACACAGCCATTATGCATTAACTGGAAAATAAGGTTGACAATCATCCCAGATTGTGTTCCATATTGTTCACACCTATCATGCTGGGTCACTGCATCACTTGTAATATCCTATTTAATTTTTTTTTTAGTCCCCTTCATTGTTAAATTAGGTATTACCCATTTCTTTCAATATCCCCCCCTCCCCCCTTTTCCCCCAAATATGTGTTCTTTACAAATCTGCTCCTGGAGACAAAAAAAGGAAGTCAAGTACCAGGTTTTGCTGAATGTATTCCCACAGTCTTCTTTAAAATGTCCTGCACAAATTGAATAGGTGTTTTTACTTTCTTTCCTGATCGAAGAGTTTTTATTGGCGTCATTGAAGGATCTTGTTTTCCTAAACAAAACAATTATCACATAGTACATATGATAGGCAAAAATAAATTATTTTGGGGTTGTTAAATAAAATAATATCTTTACTTTAACAAATTAATAAAACTAACAGAATATTATCATTATATCACTGAAATGTCTATGTTTGCTCCCCTTCATTTTAACTACAAACATGGGTTGCATGGGTTAAATATGAATAAGAAGAATCTTCAACCTTTTCTTAGGCAAGCTATCAACAAAAATGTTATAATGGGAATGCCACTACATCAAACTGAAATTTTGTTACAACAATGAATTTATTAAGGGTAAAATTAGATTTAGCCAATGGGCATTATTCATAGGAATACCATCTAATTATTTCCACTTCAAAAAACAATAGTTTTTGGTTTACCTCTTTTTTTGCAAAAATCCTTTTCTTGTTTATCAAGAGAAGTTGAATGACTAGTTTTTCTTTTTTCTTTTATATCTGCTTTCTTAACTTTCGATGACCCTTCCTTGCAAGGACTATTTTTTATTACTTTTCGGCTTAGATTTTCTACTGTACTTGTCTTGCAACAAGATTTTGATGAATTTAAAAGATCCCTTTGTGAACGCCGGACAGGAAAGTTGTTGTCTCCTCCTTCTGTAATTGAAGGGCTGAGATTAGCTACATCAACACAAGCATCACTTGCCCTTGCATCTAAATTGTGTTCCCTCATGTCAGTGCATTTTTTACTTGGTCTAACCTTTGCTTGGGTTTTTCTATTAGTTAAACTGCTATCAAGTGAATCCTCAACTTTACTGGATTCTTTTTGGCTTATGACTGCCTGATTGGCTTTGTCATGTATATCAACAGAAACTTCTGATTTATCATTCTGTATAGGTTCAGCTTTGTTTTCTATGTGTTCCAATGAAAGGTGCTGGGGGCTGTCAGTAGTAACATTTGCAAAGTAATTTTCTTCTTGACTAGGAACTGCTATTGCATTAGAAAGTTCTATAGCACTATCTGTTTCTTTTCCCTTCTTCAACCTTTTTTGCACTGCATTCCATGTTAAAACTTCTTCAAATTCATTAGTGACAATTGAGCTTGCTGGTGTTCTCATTGGTTCTGAAGGAACAGATATCTTTGATTTGGTAGATGTTGAGTTACTTTTGGATTGTGAAGAATCATTCTGGTTATGAGAAACATTTTTACTTTCTTGATAAATTTGTTGGTCACCTTCTCTCTTCTAAAAAATAATGAAAGTAAAAGTAAAAATTTAACACTTTAAAAAATTAGCATCAGATATGCAATAAATAATTTAGATAAAGCTTTCATACCAGAAAGATCTCATATTTATCATTGATTTTTTATTTGTAGGTTTAAAAGTAAATAAA